GAACTTCGGCCTTGTTTCTTCCACCAAGCAAAATGTCGTCGCACAACTTTCTGAATGAACTGGGCGGGGCGCATAATTCAACAACCGGAGACTTCGTCAAAGATAAGATCCCAGAAAAGTTACAAGATGATTACCTTGTTGTATATATGCGAGCCCGCTTCAGCGAACAAAACAAGATAAAAGCCGCGATTGCTAAACATGGGAAGGAGGAAGAGAAGATCAGATTTGAAAAAGAATTGGAGAGAATTGAACAATTAAGGGAGGCTTTCTCTGCAAACCGTGAAAATGTTCCTTTTATTGAGCTTTTTGAGTATCGTCGAGCACTATGGAGGCAACACGCTATTGGAAAAAGAGAAGATTCGGAGAAAGACGTTAAGGACAGGGTAGGAAAGATGACGCCAAAGAAACTGGCTCCTGGTAGAGAGCATGCCCGAGAGCAATGGGAACAGCGAGTTCTTGCAGATGTTGCGAAATGGAAGGACCCACGAATCCCAGACATGCCCACCAGTCTAGAAGAGGAGGGAATTTCTGAGACAAAAGCTCCCAAAAGCAGCTTTTGGGCCCGTTTTAGGAAAGAACAGAGGCAAAAGAGCGAGGACGACGATGTGCCAAAACGAGACAAACCCCGAGCGGATGAGAAGGAGGACAGAAAGCGGCCTCCAGACTCTTACGGAATCACCGTCAGCAAGATCACACTTAAAAAGAGTGGGACGTGCAAATCGTCCTACATGTCACCAGAAACCAAGGTCTATCCATTGAATGATGTTCTGTTCAAAGAAGGTGAAGAAAACCCACTGACCCAGAAATGCGAGGATGATACAATTCGATATTTTCATATCCCTGCAAATAACATGCATTGGGTAGAGGTAAGAGACATCTCACAGTCTCATTTCAGGCTGATTAGTACCAGGAGGCGATCGCAAGATACTATGGAGAAAAAACTCCCGGAGAGTTCAATTATCGCAAAGACCCAAACTACCTAAAAAAGTCCTCGAACATTCTGTGCCGTGAGTTCTGGTCTTCAAGGCAGCATGGTGGGGTCTATGACCCAGTCCATGCTCGACACATGCGAGCCCATTGCTCTCTCATAATGCCCCGTTAGTCTCCTGACTTCAAGCCTGGTATTATCTAATTAACATATCCAGAAACCAAGGGCACTTCTGAACTTGGCGTGGACAACAAAAATTTCGTGATATTTGTATGTTTCATACTACCCTCCTCTCTCTACATGGGCTCATATATCTAGATGCCCTACTTACATTGGGAAACGCACAAGAGGAGGAAAATCATGGCAAAGGTCACAAAAGAAATCACAAAGCAGCATCGCGAAACCCACTCGGACCTAACTGAGAATGTCAGAGATGAATTGTATAAAACCACCCAGGCAATTCGTCAGCTACAATCTCGGCAATTTACCGACCTTACGAAGAGAGGAAGTACGATCAACGAAAAGGAAAATGGAGAAAAAATCGCTCAAGGAAAGAAGGTGAAACGATCGGCCCTGGCGGAATATCTTCTTCAGATCGCGAAGCTTCACGATGCTATGGATATCGAGTATGATGTTAGAATTCTACGCGACCACTTACATCAGGATCCTCCTTTGCACTTGCGACGAACCCTCGACCAATCCTACTACTGGAAAATAGCGGACACGGATACAAGAGATAAGGATCAAGTGGTCTATCGTGCAACGAAGGAAGGAAAAAGCATTTTGCGGACTTCACGTGTAATCATGGTTGATCAATTGTGGCTCTACGTTCTAGATGACAGTAAGCTCTCTGCTATCCTATCCTAATCAAAAGCTAAGAAAGCAGATACTATAATATCATTCTTTCCTAGACGATGGGGAAGAAACAAGCCTGATTGGTCTGGCGTGCACAAAGGAATTCGGTCGCTACTCGCTCATCTTCATGCCGGCCAGATTGAGTCTATCTATGACTTGGCACTATTAATCATGGATCAGTGCTCCACTGTCTTTTTTGACAGCACCAAGTCAGTGGATGAGAGGCCCGAATTATTAGACATCTTTGCAAACGCTCTCAGTTACATTGTAAGTGACTCTAATCCGGCATCTAAGTGATACCTGAATTGAATTTCTTCTAGTCTGGCCAAAAGACTGTGGCGTTTGAGACTTTCTGGCACCACTTGGACAAGATGAGTGCATCGGAGCGACAACTGGCTGGATTTGAGTCAATTGCAAGGTCATATTTGAACATAAATCCTGAAGGCGAGTTACTTCGTGAGGCTCACGATATCATCGAAGAGTTGCGCATGATGACGCGCATATTTACACATCAACTCTCCGTCATGGATCTATTCTCCGAACACTTAGCGGCCCTGCACGACAAGCAGCACAAACCCACACCAGATGAAGCCCTAGATGTCCTGAAAGACATCAAAGCTCTTCTGCAACAGCAGAGTGAGGGAGGAGACACAGGCTCAGAGGCAACGAGCAAAGGCCATGCGATTGAAGACGAAGTTCAAAGGATCAACGAGATCATCAATGAAAATGCGACAACATTGTCCAGTGGTGCTGCACACTCAAACGCGATTTCTCCGCAAGAGAGCAAAGTGCCCAAACCTCCACCCGATATCCCCGAAACAACGATCAGCCTTTCAAAAAGAGTGAGGGATCACATGACATCCCGTCGAGGCAAACTCCAAGAGCTTGAAGAACACACTGTTATGATTGCTGATCAAGTAATAATCTCCTAGCCAATTGAGCTTCTCATTTGCTAACTCGAGCGAAGCTGAAAGACTTGCTCAGCCTGAAACAGCAGCAGGCAAGTATCATCGAAGCTAAATACGCTCTTAAGCGCGCGGATGAGAGTGTTATCCAGGGCCGGTCCATTATGCTATTTACGATCGTAACAATAGGTTGGTGCTCCATTCTGAGATGACACTGTAATCCGAAGATCTTCATCGATGCTAATATTGTGGCCAAACAGTTTTCCTGCCACTCTCCTTCATGAGTTCGGTCTTTGGTATGAATGCGAGCGATTTCGACGATCCGCACGGAGATGGAAACAAAATGTCCTTACGTGATCAATTCCGTCTGCTATGTAAGTTGTGCTCCACAAGCTCTGTCTCTCGTCCGTCGGACAGGTACTAAATGTTTCAGTTCCAATCTCCTTTGCTGTGATAGCTATTTCCGTCTCTCTCGCCTTTTCGCCTTGGATCCGTTGCATAATCTACTATGGCATCACTACTAGCTGGGCCACAGTCCTAGAGTATAGTGGAATCCGAAAGTTCCTTCTCAATTGCGTCAAAAAGCATGAATACCATGAGAAATACGGCTCTAGGTATAAGGATCGGAATCCCGACGATATTTATGGCAGCCAACAGAAGAAAGTCACACGCATATATTCCAGAAGAGACAGAAATGCTCTGAAAGAAGCTTTGGCCCAGGCAAAGAATCTGGACCGGTGTGGCAGAGCCTCGGGTTGTCCTGACGATACAGATCGCGACACCAGTAGCGGCAGCCGTCATGGCAGCCGAAGTGGACTATCGTTCTTTAGCCTCAAAAGCCCTACCGTGATACAGGGTGATGGCTTTGGGGATGATGGTGATCCAGACGCAATGGAGAAGGGGGAGTGGAATTGCTTGCCTAGTCCTAAGAGGACCAAGTAGGAGGTTATGGTTTGGGGAATTTGTGGCGCACTAATGTTATTGAAAGAAAAATCTGGGATCTGGACTTTCTTCGGGGTGTCTAGGCAAAGTGCTGGAACAAATGAGGAAATCAGGCTCAATTTTTGTTTCTCATTGATACCAGGATGTGTTAGTTCAATAATGTCTCTCTTTCGATTCTCCTTCTCATCATCTCCAAAGCAAGTAAGAACAATATCACATGACGTGGTCTATTTATGACGCCTTCTATCCTGCTGAGCGTTGTTCTTTCTCAAATTCTGCAGGAGTGTGAATACGCATGCTATACGGATCTTGGGCCTTCCATGGGCTAAAATCTCACTTCATTTTCGCCTTCGTGGTTGTTGTCGTTTCCATTAAAAACGAATAATATTCTGTAGTTCATTCCTCTGCATTCTTAGTTTCTGGGGTATCATTATATGTTGAATACTGTCAGATGCTTTGTCGTTCGTTCGGTGTCCTGGATGTTGTTTGGATGTGAAATACTAGCAGATTTAGCTAGAGAATACGCAGCTTGCAGCCCCTTGTTCATTATGAAAATTTACGAACCTTGAAGGTGAACTTGCTGCTACATATAATCAAATGAAAAGAGTTTCTTTCATTCCCTGCATAAATTTTTATGACCATCTTTTATATGCGTAAGCCTTGCAAGGGTGGATATGGAGGTTTTATACTTTCTGAGGGACAGAAGATGGACGGTGGACGAGGGGAGGGTAAGGAGTAGGTTGTTTGGGGAGCGGTTGAGACCAGTGCGCAATAGTGTGTATGTACTGCCTTAGCCGTCGAAACGGGATGTGTAACTGGTCGAGAAATGTGAGAAGGTTTGTGGATGTGTCGTCTTTTCTCTAGACATGTGCTACTACTACTACTTTCAGTAATCTGCATGAGATCTTAATTTTGGCGATGGATACGACGTACCCCTGATTGAATATCTACTTGTGAGTCTTTTCAACTGATTGATAAATTGCTGCTGTCAGCTCTATTGTCGTTCAGCCTTTCGAATCGTTCTTCGAATGGACTTTATGACGGGGTGTTTGCTTCACCTTCACGCGATGTTTTCTGACATTGGTTGGAGTGGGAACATGCTATCGCGCCGTTCGTTCCCTAAGTTCGTCTTGATGAGTACGAAGCAAGTTGACAACGAATGGAAAGCTCTTAGACCTATGTAAGCTTTATATCATTGGAGACACTGAGATGTCGAAGTGAAGTGGAAAGGGTGAGTAATCACCCCTATCTTCGGCGTGACTCAAAAAACCACCACTCGCTAAGCGAGCTCCGCTCCACTTTTCCATCCACTCGTCCCTCACCCAACTTCCTACATAATTTTATTTAAGCAGAAAACACTTCATTAAAATGGCCTGATAGTTCAGTGGTAGAATTCTTGCTTTGGGTATTACGACTTAATTGTAAGAGGTCTCCGGTTCGATCCCGGATTAGGCCCTTTGATTTGTTTTTTGTTTTTGAGGGCTTATTTTTCTGTGGGGAAGAGTTGACAAGCGGCGAAGAGAACTATATTGTGCAATATTTTATTTTATTTTTGTTAGGGTTATAGGTGGTTAAGGTTTAATGATTCCGTAACTACTGCTTGTGCATATACCCAAGACTCAAAGACGAATAGAAGTCTCATCTGCGACTCGCCTAACCCATCTCACTTTACTGCGACCCCCTATATCCATAAAAACCACAGGCACTCAAATGACCTCTCGTCTCGGGGTCTTCCCCCCACTCATCTCGTTGGCAACAATTATCCTTACTTGGTCTCTTTCTCGTAGTTCCGGTTGTCTTTAGGTCCTTCCCTGCATTCGCTTCATTCTTTTTATCTTCTCTCCTCGCATCCTCCTCTTTATCTTCCAGATAGTCAACCCCCACAAGCCCACCCTCCTCATCAATCTCATCCATCATCTTCACCTCCACCTCCCGAACAACCTTCAACCATTTCCAAATCGCTGCAATTCTCAATTGACGTTTAACTTCAAGGTCTTCCTCTTTTACCGCGAGGGCTAGTGCTTGAAATGTGAGTTGGCTGGGGATTAGAGTTTGGGGTTCAGAGGAAGAAGATATAGTGGTTATGATGGGGATATTGTAATCGTGTCCGGGGGCAGTCGAGGGAAAGGTGTAGATGGGGGTAGGGTGCAGGTGCCAGAGTTTGTTTATGGGAGATTTGTTAGAGGGGGAAGATTTTGAAGACATGGATGTGTTGGTGAGGTTTCCAAGGGTTGTGGGGACAGTGGAAGTTGTGGTGTTGTTTGGTGAGGCGGAGTCCTGTTGTAGGAGGTAAAGGGGAAATTTCAAAAGTGGTGTTTCAATGTGTCTGGCGCGCGGTTTAGTGTAGGAGTAAATATGTGGAAGTGTTGCGTTGTGTTCTGTCTGGCGCATGGATACAATTAAGCGATGTCAAATTAGGTATTGGCAAGGGGGTGGTGAGTTTTCTTTTACGCGACAACGAGCCTGAGGATACTTGAGCATCTAGCATTATACTTAGCGATAGGTAGAGCAGTAAACTAACTACAAGCAACCGTCTGATCTTTGGATGGCGTTAAAGGAATTGTCAAGTTTAAAACGATGTTAGTAGCTCCTAGATCGATAGGTTGCTTCTTAACGCATAGAGGGAACTGCTGATGGTTACTTATTTTGAAGCAGAAATTATTTAAGAGGTACTTACTAGTCTAAACGAATATCCTCCAGTATCTCCCCCGAGGAACCTTCTAACATCATCCTTTAGAAGTGGTTAATTGATTAGGACTATGTTTCTGCCTAGATCAACTTATAATAACACAATTCAAAAGTGCGCTAATATTCCCCACCGTGTAGCTTTTGCCATATATAATACCCATCGCTATCAAATCTTCCCTCTTAATGTGTGCCGTTCCTATAGCGAGCGTGCAAAGGGACCTTGGCTCTGGAAATCTCCGCCTTACGCACCATAGAAGTAGAAATTCTTCAGGGTAGAGTTAGTTTATGATACTGTCGACCTCTGGGGCTCTGTCAAGACGCACATTAGAAGCTCCTGCAAAGCTTGAGCCGCAATACATTTAATGTTAGGCTATGTGTATTAGTCTTGTATTCTTGACTAAAAGAAGTGTAACACAAAACGGGTTACAGTAATTCCACTAGTTAAACCTAGTTCTGCCCGATGCTTCTCCATACCTCTCATGTGCCCTCGTATGCACTGCTTAGACAGATCGTGCTTACATTCACAAGCTGAGGTAGCAAAACCCCTTACAAGCACAGCAGTACTCCCGTCTGACGCGAAGGCGCGGCTGTCGATAAACCCGGGGCTTCTTTGGGGAACGGTTGGGTGTATGTGAAATAACTTCTGCACACAAAACTTGTAACGAACTTTCTGCGATTGGTATAGGCCAGGTGCATACGAAATAGTAGAGGAGTCCCGAAAGTTGACAAGCCCCTCCACTGTACCTGCCCGCTCGACTTCATCGATGGCCTGTCTGGGCAGTTAGAGCTAAATTAGATTGAAATGTAATTTGAGCGCTCGCCGCAAGGCTCAAAACCAGGAGGTCAGATATCTTATAACATCGTACTAATGGGGTCTTTTGTACAGAGGTTGTTTACGCGTCGACGACTACTAAGTTTCGTGGAGGTAGGTATTAGAATAGGTCTAGAACCATTCTACTATCTGAGTTCCGACGTGTCGGTTTGAGCTTATCATAAGAATTACGCGATTAGTAATATCACGCGTAGAAATAAAGTTGGATCCCAAGTAGAACAGAGTCCATCACGTGCCTGCCGTATTTTCTTGGCGACCGTCTCGGCTTTAAGAACGATTTATGCAGCCACCTTCGTCATCCATCGCACTTCGCCCTAGCGAGAACTTTGCTGGGGGTCTAACGTTGCACCTGCTAAATTCCTTCCTTTTAACTACATGTTTATAACCTCTCCGCTTCCACTACGAATAATGACCCACGAAATGAATGATATGGGTCAAAGAGGTCCGACTTCCTCGCTCGTATCTCATTCAATTACACAGAATGAATTTAACGAGCCGCACTCCAACCATGGGATTGAGAGGCGATCCCAAAGATGGACCATCAAGAGGATTCGGGACTCCATTGGATTAGACCAGATGACGATGTTCAAGATGCTAAAAGGCGGACTGCCTCCGACGATTGTAATTGCCATGTAAATTCATACCACCCCCTTCTCGACTTAGAATCTAACATGATATATAGGTATCAAAGTTCTAAAATATCAGATATTACCACGACAACGGGGTATATCTCGGCTATCATAGCAGTTGCATCTCAATCCCTTTTTCCTCGCGCCAAATTCATGAAGGTCATGTTTTACAATCTCCTGTCCACCTGCACGTGCGCTGCCTTATGCTGCTTCGGTGTCCTTTCTGCCGTCAAAGCTAGAGAGCACACCACTCCTCCGGGTGGGAGCCTCGATGAATACAACAGCAGTGCTTGTGCCGTCTCTGCCGTGTGGTTGATATTTGCAATCTGGTTCGTGTTTTATCCAACCAAAATACTTTAAGTGAACTCATCAAGTCAGGATATCAAACACTTTTCGCGCCTACAAGCAACAAGAGCTCCAAGATCCTATGGTCGCTTTTGCAATCTTTGCCAGCGTCACGTTGACGCATGCTCCTCAATTTTCGACGGTTTCAAGCGGGTTGGCTTTCATCAAGCAACTTCTCCTCACATTTATATTTGGATTTGCGGTCGCAACCGGTGTTTCACTCCTTATCCTACCAATCACAAATCGACGTAACTTCTTCATAGGAAGTCAGAAGTATGCAGCAATAATTAAGGACATACTTGAAGCGCAGAAAGCGTATATAAGAGCTTGCTATGCTCAACACCAACACAAAGTGGCCGGTGAGGGGATCGCCGTAGGAAGCTCAGAATCTACGGCCAGCGTCCTGAAAATAAGTATGATCTCTTTGATTGGCATACATGATAGACTGCACGGAGATCTCATCTATGCACAGAATGAGATTGCTTGGGGAAAACTCACTGCGTCGGATCTCGAGAGGGTATTTTCACGTCTCCGATCGTTGCTTCTACCACTTGCTGGGATTAGTATGCTGCCGGATATCTTCAAGTCCCTCGATGATGAATGGAAAGCTCATCCTAAGGAGGTTGATGGTTCAAAAGTAGGGAATAACTGGAGTCGGTTTTTGCAGCAACTAATGGAAGAACTGAACGCGGCGTCCGATCTCGTGACCGCTGGAACACAACATGCCCTTTTGATTCTAGACATTACACGTTTGAAAGAATCAAATCAATGGTTTATGAGTTTCCATAGTCGCCAAGAGATGGATGTTGAGCGGGATGAGGACGACTGTGTTCCAGGTAGCGTTGGCTTCGCTTTTCACCTAGAGAAGGAGATCAAGGAATTTACCAGTCGGCAACAGGATCGACATATAACTTCCGGAAATTTCCCGGTCGGTGTATCCGATAACTCGGATGAAACACGTTTCCAGACTGGTTCCGATAGCAGTGAAGATTTCTTCGTATTCCTCTTCACTCAACATCTGCTTCGGTCTTTGCTGCAGGCTACCTTGGAGCTGGTCAGGTTCGCAGATAGCAAATTTGCTGATGGGTCGATGAAATACGGCCGTGCTATCTTTCCCCAAGGACCATTCATCAAAGCACGGCTTGGACTGAGCTCTGGATGCAAGGGCGTGTCCGACCAAGTCAACGGCGGCGACAGTGATCTATCTAGCGAACCCAGAGGAGCCGTTGATCCCGAACACCTCCCACCAGCCAATCCTTGGGAGAGATTTGGCAACGGACTGCGATATGTGTCGCGGATCTTGGCATCTAAGCAGAGTGTCTTCGGATTTCGAGCTGCTGCCGCTTCATTCAGCGTGGCTCTCCTGGCTTTCCTGCCGCAAACCCAAGATTTCTTTACCAGGCAACGATTAATCTGGGCTCTCATTGTGATTGCCTTTGGCATGAGTCCCACAAGCGGTGCGGGTCTCTTCAGTTTTGCCGGGCGTATCTTAGCCACTGTTGTTTCATTAGCGCTAAGTTTGATTGTTTGGTATATTGTAGATGGTCATGTCGCTGGGGTAATTGTATTCTTGTATATCGCTAACGTATTCGAGGTGAGGAATCTCCTCTGACTAACTTCCCACCAACTGTTATTTCTAGCTCTAATATGTCTAGTACTACTTTTACGTCAAGTATCCACCTTTTATTGGGCCTTGCGTTATTGCAATCGTCACATTAAACGTTATTGTGGCATACGAATTGCAGGTATGCCCTCGTATTATTCGCTACATGCTGGTGAATGATACCAATCCCTCTACAGGTTGATCAACTCGGCGTTACCGTCGAAACCGGGTCTAGCGGCCAGCCTTATTACCCAGTATATCTCTTTGGCCCGTATAAGTTACTGGCTGTTATCGTTGGCTGCACGATAGCTTTCATCTGGACTGTCTTCCCTTACCCCATCACTTCGCGTTCTCAAGTC